TAAATTAACCAATGGTTTATCTATTTTATTGGCTTTTTCATAAAACCAGCTTCTAGTTTTATTTATTAGTTCAATGGTCTTCTTGCTTTCAATTTTACTAATCTCTCCTTTGATTTTCACAATTTCCAATTTGGTGTTTAATTGGGGATTTTTAATTTGTTCCTTTTCTAGTTTGTTTGGGTTTTTTTTTGTAAGTTGCATGCCCAATGCATTGATCTGCTTTTTCTCTACTTTACTGATGTAAGCAATTAGAGACATAAATTTACCTCTAAGTACCTCTTTGGCTGCATCCCATAAATTCTGGTATGCTGTCTCATTGCTGTCATTTTCTTTGATGAAATTATCAATTGTTTCTATAATTTGTTCTCTGACCTACTTGGGTTTTTTTTTAGGATTAGATTATTTAATTTCCAATTAATTTTAATCTCTCTATTATCCATTATTGAATATAATTTTTATTTCATTATGATCTGAAAGGGATGCATTTACCTTTTCTGCTTTTCTGCATTTGGTTGTGAGGTTTTTATGTCCTAATATACTGTCATTTTTTTGTGTAGGTGCCATGTACTGCTCAGAAAAAGGTATATTTCTTTCTATTCCCATTAAATTTTCTCCAAAGATCTATCACATCTAACCTTTCCAGAATTTTACTCACCTCCTAAACTTATTTCTTGTTTATTTTTTAGTTAGATCTATCTAGTTCTGAGAGAGGAAAGTTGAGGTCCTCCACTAGTATAGTTTTATTATCTATTTCCTCCTGTAACTCATTCAATTTCTGCTTCAAAAATTTAGATGCTATACCATTTGGTGCATATGTGTTTAGTATCTATGACTTCATTGTCTATGGTATCTTTCAGCAAGATATAGTTTACTTCTTTATCTCTTCTAATTAGATCTATTTTTTCTTTTGCTTTGAGTTCATCCCATTCACATTTATAGTTATGATAACTATGTATTTTCCTCTATGCTATTTTTCACTTGTTTATCCCCCTCTTTCTTTTACCCTTCACCCTTTCCCTCCTCACAAGTGTTTTACTTCTAATCACTGCCTTCCCCAATATACCTTCCCTTTTATCAGTCCTTCCCTTCCCTTTCTATAATCCCCATTCCTTTTCACTTCTTTATAGGGTAAGATAGGTTTCTACATCCAACTGAGTGTGTATGGTATTCCCTCTTTGAGCCAATTTTGATGAGAGTAAGGTTTAAGCTCTGTCCACTACCACCACCCCCATCTTCCCCTCCATTATAATAGCACTTTCATGTCTCTTTTACATAGGATAATTTACCCCATTCAATCTCTCCCCTCTTTCTTCTTCCAGTGCAATTTTTTTCCCACCCCCTTCATTTTGTATTTTGGGGTATCATCTCATCAAAGTCACCTTATATCCATACCCTCTGTCTACATATACTCCTTCTAATTGCTCTTATAATAATAGTTTTTAAGAATTACAAATATCATTTTGCCATATAGAAATATAAAGTTTAACCTTATTGAATTTCTTATGTTTTCCTCTTTCTTGTTTCATTTTATCTTTTTATTTTTCCCTAGAGGCTTGTATTTGGAGGTCAAATTTTTTATTCAGCTCTGGTCTTTTAATTAGAAATGCTTGAAAGCCCACTATTTCCTTAAACATTTATTTTTTTGCTTAAAAGATTATATTCAATTTTGCTAGGTAAGTGATTCTTGGTTGTAATCCTAACTCCTTTGCCTTCTGGCATATCATATTCCAAGCCTTCCAGTTCTTTAATGCGGAAGCTGTCAAATCCTGTGTAATCCTGACTGTAGCTCCATGATATTTAAATTGTTTCTTTTTGGCTGCTTGCAATACTTTCTCTTTAATCTGTGAGCTCTGGATTTGGCTGTGATGTTCCTGGGAGTTTTCATTTTGGGATCTCTTTCAGACAATGATCAGTGGATTCTGTCCATTTCTATTTTGCCCTCTGCTTCTAATATATCAGGACAGTTTTCTTTGATAAGTTCTTGAAAGATGTTGTCCAGGCTTTTTTTTTTTTACCATGGCTTTCAGGTAGTCCAATAATTCTTATATTATCTCTCCTGGATCTATTTTCTAGGTCAGTTATTTTTTAATGAGAAATTTCACATTTTCTTCTATTTTTTTCCTTGTTTTATTTTGTTTCATTGTATCTTAATATCTCATAGAGCCATTAGTTTCTACTTGTTCAATTCTAATTTTTAAGGAATTATTTTCTTCAGTGAGCTTTTGTACTTCCTTTTCTATTGGGCCAATTCCATTTTTTAGGGAGTAATTTTCCTTGGTAAATTTTTGTGTATCTTTTCCCATGCTATTGACTCTTTTTTCATTATTCTCTTGTATTACTCTCATTTCTTTTCCCAATTTTTCTTCTACTTCACTAATTTGCTTTTTAAAATCCTTTTTATGGGGCAGCTAGGTGGCACAGTGAATAGACTGCCGGCCCTGAAGTCAGGAGGATCTGAGTTCAAATCCAGCCTCAGACCAAACACTTGACATTTACTAGCTGTGTGACCCTGGGCAAGTCATTTAATCCCAATTGCCTAAAAAAGAAAACAAACAAACAAATAATAAAATCCTTTTTAAACTCTTCCAGGAATTCTTTTTGGCCCTCAAACCAAATTATTTTTTCTTTGAGGCTTCACATGTAGCCATTTTGACACTACTGTCCTCTTCTAAGTTTGTGCCTTGATCTTCCCTATCACCACAGTAACTTTCTATAGTCAAGCTCTTTTTTTGTTTTGTTTTTGCTCATTTTTTTCTGGGGTTGTTTTTTTGTTTTGTTCTGTTTCATTTTGGTTTTTCATGTCCTGGTGTTTTTATATAAGAGCTGGGCTCTGATCCTGCACTGTCCGCAGCTTGTTGTGCTGGGGCTCTGGGTCTTATGCTACCTTTCACTGGGCTTCAGGGCTTAGCTGTTTGCTTTCTCTGGAGGACAGGCTTCCCTTCTGGCTTGTACTGGGAGGTGAGTGAGGTCTCTCTGTTGGCCTCCCCTGGGTGTGGGGTTTAGCTGCTAGCCTGCTCCAGGGGTAGGAAGCCTTGATGCTAGATTACTATGGTAACAGAGTCTTTCTGATATCTGGCCCTGGAAGAAGGATCTTATTTCAGGTCTTCCCTGGGGTGGGGCCCTGCTTCTGGGTTCCTTTGGAAACAGGGCCTCTCTGCGGGTAGGCACCAGGGGCCGGGTCTTGCTGTTGGCCAGCCCCAGGGCAGGACTTCACTACTGGTCAGCAATGGGGTCAAGGCGTCACTGGTGGCTTGTGCTGGGGGTAGGGCTTTGCTGTGCTGCACAGACTGCTCACTTGCCTAGGGGGCTGCTGCTTTGCAGGAGGGTTGGGCCTGGTGGATTTCCCCAGGCTTTGAGCCTTGCTGCAGGCCCTCTGCTATGAGGCTGGCTGCTGCTGCTGCTGCTCTTGGACCTTGCTCCCCTTCCACCCCAGTAAGACAGGCCTTTCCCGCCTGGATGGTTAGCTGCTTCCTTGCACCTAGATCAATTCTGAGGTGGGTTTCTGGTTGTTTAGAAGGGAATTTGGGAGAGCTTCAGAGGGTTCCTTCCTCACTCTGCCACCTGGCACTGGAAGTCCTTACCATTCTTAATAGCAATCCAAAGTTGCAGAATCCAAGAATTTCAGAGTTGAAAATACCTTCATGGCATCTACTGCAATTTATGCCTGAAAATAGCTGAGAAGTGATCATACAGCCTGTACCTGAAGACTCCAATGAGGGTAAGCCCCATCCCACTCAAGGCATCCCATTCCACTTAACATCGCCCTATTAGGAAGTCTTGGGGGGTGGGGGGGGGTGTTTCCGCATAGATCTACTATAAAGAAGGAAGCTTCAAGTCTCAAAAGAGGAAGCAATGGTGAGTACAGGAGGAAAGAACATCAGCAGGAAATTCTGAGATCAGGAGCTGGAGTCCGGCCCCATCACTAAGTCTCTGGGTGAATCTGGACAGGCCACAAGGCCTTTCTGGGCCTGAAAGACCTCTACTGTGACATTCCAAGACACTATGACTCGATGACCAATCAAACACAAGGTCAACCGAAACAATGCCTAGAAAGGACATCAGACAGAAGCCTGGACAACTGGCTTGAGCTCCAGCTCTTCCACTAACTAGAGGGGTGGCTTTGGGCAAATCAAGTAAACTCCCGGGTCCTCTTGTCCTTCCATGCAAGAGGAGGGGAACGGGCAGGAACACCTCCTCCGAGGCCTCTTCAAGTTCTCTCACTCTGACATGATCTCAGCACTTCGCTCACTTATCCTAGGTAACAAGGGCTATCAAAGTAGCCTATGTAAGAGCCTGTTTCATTAGAAATATAAGTAAACTGGGGGCAGCCAGGTGGCACAGTGGATACAGCACTAGCCCTGGAGTCAGGAGGACCTGAGTTCAAATCCAGCCTCAGACACATAACACTTACTAGCTGTGTGACTCTGGGCAAATCACTTAACCCCAACTGCCTCACCAAAAATATAAATAAACAAATAAAAGTAAATTAATTCAACTAAAAAACTAAAATTATTCAACTCCACTCACTTGTCACCTTACCAAAGCAAGGAATCTAGAAGAGAACCAGGGCCACACCTGCAGAGTTAAAAAGACACCAATGGATCCCAATCTGCACTGCTGGAGAGCAAGGCCACATCAGTAGGACCACAGTTCCAATGAAGAATGCCAGGGTTGGTACATATTTCTTTCTATTGGCTACTTTGATCGTATCATTTCTCTTACTGAGTATTAGGCTCTTTGAAGATAAAAACTGTGTCTCTGACTTACCAGGTACCCTTTAAGCACCTTGTACACAGCTTTTCAACTTGTGGGCCCTAAGCAAGTAGTATATTATTATCATTGATAATGCTAGCTCATATTTCCATATCAATTAATTGTTTACAAAGCAACTTTCTCCCAACGATCTCTGAAGCAAATGTACTCACAGTCTGATTTTTCCAATCAATTTAAACCTCTTACAAAATCGCTTAAACATAAATGACAAGAAAAATAGTTCTTACCAGTTTTATCTGCTCAGCAAGCTTGTCCTGGGAACTCTCCGGGGGCAGGCCCACTGCATTCTGGGCTGGGCTCTGAATTGTTGGTGCTGTAGCTACAGCTAAACCTAGGGGCTTGGAAACAACTGGGGATAAGGATTTGGTTTCTGGGGAAGTTCTATTTGTCTGCAAAGGATATACAGAGGGTAGCGCTGCGCCTGAAGAAGCTGATGGTGGAAGAGACGAGAAAAGCAGAGAATCTGCCAGAAGATGCTGAGAAGCCTGTGCAAGATCTACAGATGGTCGCAGCAGTGAAACAGTCTGTCCGGGAAACATTTTGTTACTCACGAATATAAAAAGCTATATTGAAATCAGATAACATTTTAACATTTACATCCCACTAGAAGCTGCAGACCAAGTAGTCTCAAGTTATAAATCTGACAACTTAATTTCAAGAGCGTTCATAATTAAAAGCACTTCAACAAAAAAGTCCTGTTCCTCTGCAGGTGAACACAAGAGAAACACATAGATGATTATTTAGCTTATCACAGGTAACTAAGAACCCCCACAAATCTAGCAAATAAAAATAAGGTTCTGTGTCTCTGAAGTAAACATTTCATTATTAGATTATAATCTGATGTAGTAAAACCAAAATCACTGAATACCTGCTGCTGTACTGTAGCCTGAGATTGAGAGATCTGTGCAGGTGGCTGCCCTTGCATCTGGACATGGAGCGCTGGTGTGAGAGGCTGTGGAAGGGGTGCTGTGGGCTGGCTGGCTGGAGCAGCAGGAATGGGTACATTGGGTGGCTGGGTCTTCACCAGAATTGGGGGCTGGGGCTGGGACTGGGTCTCCATCATCTGCTGCTGGGGCTGCTGTAGAATCTGCAGGGCTGATGAGAGCGATGTGCCCGGAACATTGGCAGGCTGCAGCCGCCCAGGAAGCTGAGGTGGAGGAGTATGTAGACTTGCAGCATTCTGCACGGGAGGACCTTTGGATGGATCATACTGCTGTTGGTTCTGTTTCTGTCCAGTGAGCTGCACAGTTTGAGGAGTGGGAGGCATTCCGCCTGCAAACCCAGAAAGAAATCAAATAGCAATTTTAAAATGTCCAAATTTAATGGAAATTCATCTAAGAAAATATTAGGCAGGAAAGAGGAAATACTTTAGGATTTTAATACATTATACCCAAAGATTACATCGCTTTGGAAAACCTGTCAAAATTGTATAATATCAGCAAGTCATTTAACCTATCTGGGCCTCAGTTTCCTCATCTGTAAAATGGTTGGCCTAGATGACCTCTAAAATCCCTTCTGGTTCTAAAATCTATGAACAATTAGCTATAAATATCATAACAAACAACATGAATCTTTTTGCTCAGTTCTTTTAGTGACTTTTAAAAGTAGCTGATTTGAAATATTATTACATTTTACCTTACACAATATTTATTTCCTATGAATGCTTAATTTATTTTTGAATTCCAAACTTCATCCTAAATCAACACAATCACAGAGATAGAGAACCTTAGGGCTTCCAAACTCCAGCAAAATGTGGGAATAATAACAATGCTGATAGCTCCAGATCTTTTGGCCTAAGTCAGGTGACACATGGTGGGATGGAGGTGACACCTGGAATTTTCAAAAGCTATGATGGTGGAGCACACGCTCTCGAGGTGCTGTCAAACAAGAATGTCCTGACATATGGATCTGACATCAGACCCCATGTCTGCTAAGGACAAACCTAGTTAACTTTAGAGAAGCCTAACATCAGAAAGTTAGCTAAGTAATACATTCTTTTGATGCAGAAAAGTCATAAAATTGTCTATTGAAGCAGTATATAGGGGTTACAATCTACACTGCTGGAAGAAATAGTCACAGTGACGAAACCAGAGAGCTTTTGAAATACTAAATAGGTTATACCGGGTGTTCCAAAGGTCTTAGTGCAGGTTTTAAGCTTTTAAGAAGCTTTGGAACACCCTATATTTATGCAGTAATTTACAGACTCTAATTAGATACTTCTAGTGATGGGAAGCTCATTATCGTACAAAACATCCCATCCTGTTATTGAACCACTCATATTGAAACAAAATTTGCTTTCTTATGAATTTTCGCCAACAGGAATACTATCAGTTTCTCCCTCTTGCCTTTTTGTGGCTAAATACACCTAGTTCATTCAACCATTCTGCATGACATGGTTTTTTTAGATCTCTCACCATCCTGCTCACTGGTTTCCTGCAGGCACACACTGATTTTTTTAATGTTCCTTAAAATGTGGTGCCTAGTACTATAAATTATTATGCCAAATACAGTGGGACTACTATCTTTCTTGAAATAAACACTATAGTTATCTTAATGCAGCCTACAGTTATATTAGTTGTTTGTTTGTTTTTAGCAGTGACCGCAGTGTTGGCTTATAATGGGTTTCTGATAATGAAATGAAAATACTCAGATATTTTTCCAAATGAATTGTTAAGTCATAACTGCTAAATCCTGTTTTTGTGAAATTGATTCTTTGAATACAAATGCAAGACTTTATACTTATCTCTGTTAAACTGCATCTTGTTAACTTGGGCCTACTATTCCCTTCTGCTGAAGTCTTTCTAAATCTTCATTTTGTTATCTAATGTCTTAATTATTCCTACCAGCTTTGTGTCATATGCAAATTAATTAATAAGTATTCTTTCTATATTTTCATCAATATTAAGGAAAATGTTAGGCAGAACAGGGCCAAGAATAAAGCCTCCAGAAACTTGCTGCCATTAATCAATACTCTGTAAATTATGGTTGGTTCACCCTGTTACAAATGTACCATACCTAGATTATCACTCAGTTCTCCACCATATCTACAAAAATTTGAATTTGTCAAATTTGTCAAATGCTTTGCTAAAATCAAGGTCTCTAATCATACCAAGACAGTTATACTATCAGTAGCTCTACCAATTTAATAACTAATCCAAAAGTCTAATAATTTTTTAAAGAAATAAAATTCATTTGCTGTGAGACTCCTTTTAACTTTTCTAAGTATTCACAAATCATTTGTGTAAGAGTCCATTAAATAATTCTACCAGGAATCTATGTACTCTTCTTGCTCCAAAAACAGCTAAAAATGTCCCTTTTTAAATTTTTAACTTTTTTGGTGAACATTAGCTTGACCCAGACATTAGAGTTACTGACATTATTCCTATAAGTGTGGGCCCTTTTGGATTCATCTTTGGTTATTTCTGCTTTTCCTTCCATCTCTTCTGAATCTCTTTTTAAAATTATGAACTCCTTAGTTCATTCTATAGACGTTTATCAAGTGTAGAGTACTTGATAGGTGTTGTGTGAATACCTACATAATAGACAAAAAACATGATCCCACCTTCATACAATTTAGAATCTAATAGGAGACATGAGACATTACAGAAATAACTTCAATACAAGATGTAAAACAAAAATGGAATAAGTAAAGTATAAAATGCTATCCATGGTTAGCTGGGAAAAGGGAGAAATTATTTCTAGCTATAGGATCAGGGAAAGTTGCACTGGGGAGACTGTATTTGAAATGAGCCTTGAGAAGAAAGCTGGAGCTGGAAAAAGGAGCATTTGAAACAGAAGAAATAGATTGGGAAAGGAGAGATACTGGAGAAAAAAAGATGGTTAGGAAGTTGAGGGAATATTAATTCCCAATGAAAAAAATACTCTGGTTCAAATAAATTTAACAAGCAAATTCTATCAAACATTGAAAGAACCATGTTTACCTATATTATAAAAATTATTCTCAAAAATAGAGAAATAAGGTATTCTATCAAAATCATTTTATGAGACAAATATTATCCTGATACTCAAATCAAGAAGAGACAAAGCAAAGAGTAAGAACTATAGACTAACTTCATTAATGATGAACCATTTAAAATAAAATTTTAGCAAAGAAATTATAGCAATATATACTTTTAAAAATTCATGACAACTAAGCTGGATTCATAACAGAGATGCAAGGATAGTTCAACTCAGAAAAATAATTAACATAATTATATAAACAACAAAAATGTGATACATTAATGATGCAGAAAAAAATTTTAATAAAATAAGATATTCATTTGCTTAAAAAAAAAAACCTTTAAAATATAATCAAAAGTGCCTAAAACCAAGAGCTAGCATATCTGCAATGGAAAAATAGTAGTAGGTTTCCCTTAGCATGTCTATGCAGTAATATAAAGGGGAAAAAAGGACAAAGAAGTAAGAAAAATTCCATTCAGAATAATTACGAAATGCCTAAACTATCTGAGAATTAACCTATCTGGACAAATTCAGCACTTTTTTAGATAAAATTTTAAATACCTCCTTATAGAGATAAAGACTTAAAATAATTGGAGATTCATTACTCATAGTAGAGCTGCAATGATATAAAATGAATGGTGACACTAAACTAATATGGTGCTATACTAAATAATTTCCTAAAGGTTTACTTTGAAGAATTGGATAAAATAATGACAAAAATTCATTTGGAAGAACAAAAGTCTAGAATCTCAAGAGAAATAAGGTAAATAAGGTGGAGGGAAGAGCAGGAATAATGGACACAAAGCATTAGTAAGTCTTAAATTATATTATAAAGTAATAATCATTAAAACTCATTGACACTGGTTTTAAAAATTAAAAATACATCACTGGAAGAGGCTAGACAAGCAAACATAGTAACCTAGTGTCAGATAAGCTCATATAAATACTAGGGGAGGAACTTACTTGGCAAGAACTATTGGAAAAACCAAAAAAAAGCAGGTTGGCAGAAGTGGTCTTACACCAGTACCACTGCAATAAGTTCCAAATGAATATTCAAACTAAAAATAAATAGCCACATAATGAAAAAATTAGAAAACAACTGAAGGTATCTTTCACAAACTGAGCTAGCAGAACTAAACAATGAATAGAGCTCATCACAAAAAACAAAGAAAACAATTGTGATTACATAAGATTTGGAAAAACATGAACAAAATCAGTGCAACTAGATTTTTTTAAAAATACCGTTGAGTAGAGAAAAAATCTTTGCATTTAATATATCTGAGAAATCTAATATATACAGGAAATTGGCACTAATATATAAGACCAGGAGCCATTTTCCAACAGATAAGTCAGTCAGTCAACTGTAATTTCTTAAGCTCTTACCATGTGCCAGGCACATTCCTGACTTTTCCTCCAAAGTTTCTATGATATTCACTAACTCTGGTTTGAAATCAGCACTTGTTACCATTTTCAAGTCTGTACATATACCATGAAAACCTATCACCCAACTCTACAGATATAATAAGCACAGCATACTAGGTACTCACTTATACATAAGAATCTGTAGTCAACTAGAAATCCAAATTAGAGCCCTAGACTCACCCACATGAAACCTTCTGGACAGAAAAATATGTACATGGCTTTTGGTGACAGAATACCTTGTGCTGTTGGCATTAATTGCTGAAGAGGGACTCCTGAAGTCACCGCTGGACACTGAAAGGCTGCCCCGTGACAGCCCACATCAATCCGAGGTCTCTTAGGTGAATCTATAATATTTAAATTCCATTTGTGGCATCATATGAGAGTTGCAGGTTCATTTTTACAAAGCAAATACTATATCAGAATGTTTTTCATATAAGTACACAAAACTGTAACTTCATAGAACACATGCAGCAAACCCAGGAGAACGTATTTCAATGATAACCTGTACTTCTGATAAGCAAAACGATTCATCAGGAATTGTATTACATCTAGCAGATGTTATACGATTTCATTCACAACAAGAACAAATCAGATTTAATAATGACTCAAACAAGAGACCTGAAATTATGCCTAGCAAAGTTCGGAGAAGATAAGCACTAGGTGATTTAAAAAGGAAAAGTTGTGTAATTCTAGGTTATTGACATCTTGCAAGTTTAAAAAAATGTACGTTGGTTCAAAGCTCCATACCTGTTTGGGTCATTGTCTGTTGTCTCTTAAATGTCTCAATTTCTAAAGTAGTCACAGTTCCAGTTACTGGTGAACCTGTGTGCATTTGCTATTAGAAAACAAAAATGTTATAAATTTTAGTATGCATTTAACTGATATGACACTGAACTTAAATAATGAATCTCTCCACTAATTCAGGTAGTTCCTATGACCAAAAAAAAGCCATTATGACCACAAGGTACCTGCTGATCATAATAAGTTCCTAAACAAAAGTCACTCTCCCTTGGTTCTTAATTGGTAGAAGAAAATAAACAAGGCTGGTGAGTTTTTCAGCATGTTTTTCATTGGCTGAAGAGGAAGCAGAACTGTTCTCCACAAGCTCTGTCAGGAGCATGTCATGTCCAAACACACATATGTGACATCAAATGTATAAATGAATGAGGGTTGATTCATTGGTGAAAATATCTGTACGTCAAAACTAAAAGTGGGTTCAGTGCTCCTGGGAAAAGTGATTATATCCACCTGGCTAGAAAATGTTCACTAAGCAGAAGAGGGCAAGCACAATATAACTCCATGACACAAGTCAGAAGGAAGCTTAGGTAAACTCTGTGGAACAGACATGGTCCTTTCATACACAAAGCCTCAGTCATCATCAAAAATGTGGAAAGAAAAATCATGAAACCCTAAAGGATCCTGGGTGCCTAATATAAAGGTGCTAGCTTTACAAGTTTCCCAAGCATAATTTTTTTTTAAGGATCCAATATTCCATTTGGAACAAGGACCCGATCCAAGTCAGAACAAGAGAGGAGGACTCTTGTCTCTCTGTCTCTCATTCTCTCCCTCCCTTCTTCCCTTTCTTTCCTTGTCTTTCCCTCCCTCCCTTCTTTCTTCCTCTCTTGCCCTTGGGCAGCATGACGAAACAACAGGATCACAAAGGATAATCAATTATATCGAAACAGTTATCCAATTTTTTTTTAAAGCCGAGGTCACAGATACCAAGGTAAAAACCCCTATGTTAGAAGCAGCACACTGAAGCAGTTTCATCTGTTCTTGTTGCATTCCTTGGGGTGAACTGGCCGCTACACCAAAACCCTGACTCGGCTATACATTACCAGCACTGCTGTGACTAGGGCACAGAAGCAGAGAGTAATGCACTTCTTGAATGCTACTCCAGGTGATAAAATCCGATCCACTGCTAATGTTGAACCCTTTGATAGTGTCAAGGACTTCGGTGACAAGAACTTTCTTTTCAGGTCCTTTAGGAGCTGTGGCTGTGGAGCCCACTTCTGCAGTCTGCTGCCAGGCTGCCCCTCCACAAGGGCTGCTTCCCAGCATGATGGCTGGGGCACTGGGCTGGAAGAACTGCTCTGCCCAGGCTCTTGGGGTCAGGGTCTTGGGATGCCTCCATGAGCGGAGATGGTGGCTAAGCTGTGACAGTTTTATTTGCCTGGCACATGCTGCCTCCTGCTCCTCCCAGAGGAGACCTCGCTGCTTCAGCTAGCCTGGCCCTTCTGCCCCATGAGTGCCAGATGGGTGGCAGTCAGTGGAGATGACTGGTAGCCTCCTTCCACAAGATCCCCTTCCCAGATAACTGCTGTGAGGGATGGCCTAGAAGCCAGACAAGCGATCAGGAGGTGCTCCCACTTCCTGGGTATGCTGGTCAGCAGTTGTTGCTGGTGGTAATGGGGGCCCCCTCAATGAGGGCTGCAGGGACTGGGCTGGAAGGAGGACAGATGGGCTGGGAGTGCTGCCACTCCTAGAGCCCTTGTACTCATCACTTGACTATCTCCCTATTCTGTATTTCATAACCAATCATTTCAGTACTGTTCTCACTAACTCCCTGTACATTCCCATTCCTTCAGCCTCACCTATGCATATCCTCAACTCTGAACTTCTTCTGAAAACTGTCCATCACAATATGATCCCAGACCCTACCAATGAAGCTGTAGACATCTATGATAATGTATCAAAAGGATCTTTTTTAATCCACCAAGATGCTTTTGGGTATCATTTATGCTATTTAGGTTGCAAAAGCAGCACGTTTGGGAGTAAGGCTCAAAAGGACTTTGTGATGGAGAAGGACAATCAGGACAGGGGTAAAGAGGCAATGTGGTATGATAACTGTTTCTTAGAGTAGATGAGAGGATAACCTCATTAGTTGATCACTCTAGGAGTAATAAGGGAAGGTTTCACAAAGAATGTAAGGTTTGAACACATACATCAGGGATGGGAAAATTTTTAGTAAGTGGAAAGTAGTGGACAAGGCATTCCAAAGTAGATAATGGAAGAAGCAAAAGTTTAGAGGCCAAAAAATATAGGCTGTGTAACACAGTGCCTGGCATATAGTAGGTGCTTAATAAATGCTTTTGGGGGGCAGCTAGGTGGCCCAGTAGATACAGCACTGGTCCTGAAGTCAGGAGGACTTGAGTTCAAATGTGGCCTCAGACCAAACACTTGACACTTACCAGCTGTGTGACTAGCTGGGCAAGTCACTTAACCCCAATTGCCTAAAAATAATAACAATAATAATAATAAGTGTTTTTTTGAATGAATTAATATGTTCTGAACATAACAAATAGAGGGGGCTTTTTTGGGGGAGCCAAAAAATTAGGCACAAGAGGAACGGGAATAAAGATGGAAAGAAAAACTGTGAGTCCAGGTTGTGGACTTTGAATTGAATGCTAGACTAAAGAGTTTAAACTTTATTTTATAGACAGTAGAGAGCCATTAAAGGTGCTCATTCAATTCCACAAACATTTACTAAGCCCTACCATATGCAATGCACAGTGCTACGTGCAGGGATATGAAGATAAAGAAAATGATTGCAGCCCTCAAGAAGCATGTATTCTACTGGGACAGGGAAGAAGCACGGCATGTACAAAAACGTGAGCAAGTCTACCTGCTTGAACAAAACTGTACTGTTTTTGGAAGGGGTGATCCCACTGTGTTTGCTGCACTTAGTAAGTCCTTTACAAGACGAACCGTAACAAATTCTATCATTTGTAAAACATAGGATCAACAAGGCAGGAAACGGGACAAGTATGTAAATTTAGTCCTAGGCCAAGAGGAAAGCATTTTCCTGAATCAATACAAAGCAATCAGAGGCTGTAATTGTACATAACAAAGAACCTTTAACAATTTTTTAAAACTTTAAAACTGTTCCCTGAGAATTCAGTAAGAACATATTACTCTTCTGCTACGAAACACTAAGAAAAATGTATGGGAAAATAATTACTGAGCTTGTTTTATTTCTAACACTTCATTTTCTGTTCTTGGAATAAAAACATCAAATATTTATAAATACAACTATTAAAAGAACTTTGTTCCAGGAAAGAAGAGAATTTATAAGAAGTATTTCTCTTAAAAGATGTATGTTTCCCAGAGCAAACAAAATCTACATTTACATTCAAGACAAACTACAGCTACACAAAAAAGCATAAAAGAACCAAAGATATCCAGAAATAAACAACAAAAACAAAAACAGTCCAGGTGAAATTTAATGAAAGCAAGCCCCAAATCCAAAAATAGAATCGCGTAATTTCCTCGCTTTTCAGAGGAAAGAAAAAATAACAATGCATTAAAATTCTGAAGTTTAAAAAAAACTTTCAAACATAGGTCCTTGACTAATAACAAGGTATAGGTTCTTGGAAAACCACTGAATTCTAGGAAATACCAAATCTGGATGAATCTAAAATCTGGTATGAGACTACATTTTAGAACCATCGAAAAGTACCTGAAATGGCTGCTGGGATGAAAAAGCAGCAGAAACATTTGGAGGAAGCTGGGTTGCAATAGCAACAGGAGTCCCAGTCTGCCCATCCTTTCCTGTCACAACCTTTACCTGAGAGGAGATATTTGGAGAGGAAAGGGGGAAAAGGGAAAACAATTTTTAAGTTGATCAATACTGTACAACCACTGCCCGCTAAAATGGGTGGAACCTCAGTGAAGAGGGGACATAATTCAATCTTCATGAGAGGATACTTTTATTCCAACAGAATTTACTTTAAGAGCCTGTCACTGATAACGTAGATCTGAAGTTCAGTTCAGGCTGGTAACATTTCATTCTCACCTAGCAGACAATAATAGCTTCTCAGGATGGTCTTTACCAAGAAGTGCCTGAACATTAACAAGAGACAAACCCAGTGATTGGCTAGCCTGGATCCTAAAGCCATCAGCTTTCCCCATAGGGAAGGAGGTCTTCGGGGTTTGCAAGTGCTTAAAAAAGGGAAAAGAGAGAAAGACAAAAACTCTACAGAGGACAAAGAAGGTAACAGTGACATATTATGACTTCATTTTATCACAGGATAAAATCAGTCATAATAACTGGTAACGTTTACATATTGCTTTCAGGTGTGCAAAGTACTTTAAAAAAAAAAAAAGCTTTCAACAGTTAAGCTAATGAAAAATCTTTCAGGAGAAACAAGCAACTTCCCTGAGTGAGCCTATTCAAATCTAATACTCAGTAAAATTATATTAAACTGCTCTGAAGTCAAATACTACTTTGCATCAAGGGTCCAGATACAGCTTGGGAGTTGGAGAAAAAACTGAAGATGGTTGAAACGAACCAGAAAGAAAATCAGATTGATTCAGCAAATAACTCCCCAAAATCAATGTGATTAATACAAACCACAACTCAAAATGTATCATTACCTAGTAGAAAATAATACTCAAAGAAAATAATGAGGACTTGGAGTCTTTTTTTTAAAAATCCACTTATGAATTTTAAAACGGCCGCTTACTTCTCATTCTGTGACATACTAGCTAAATCTCTGATAATTCGTCTAAGACATTAATGGCTGCTAACACCTACCATTCCCAGAAGTAGTTTCACAATGGAGGGAGAAGTGAACCTATGCTTTCACTGGTATAACAGAATGAAGAAAGAATGCATTTATCAATGCAGATCAGCAACTGTTCCACAACATGTAGTAGGCTGCCTGGGAAACTCAAAGGTGACTTGCCCAAGCTCATAAAGCTAACATGTAGTACTGACAAGACTTGAACCCAGGCCCACCTGACTCCAAGTCTAGGTATCTATACCACCAAGCCAGATTGCCTTTTGGTCTTTATATTTCAAAAGGGATTTCAAGAGAGTTCCTCCCCAAAGGAATGAATTTCCAGTGAGAGGAATTCCCACCATCGTATGGAAGTTAATGAGGGAGAAAATCTGGGGGCAAGATCTTTGGACAGTGTCCTTCACATCTCACCATACAGTCAACCTCCTATCCTATCAGCCAAAAGACTGGCCCTTCCCTGCTTGCCAGTTTCAGTCGGGGCCCTGTCATCTAAAGTTTCAGAAAGAGCTGACAGTGTCAACAGGACTTCTTTGCCAATGGATAACACAGAGCTTTGGATGACAGAGATCTGAATCAGCAGAGGGAAGACGGGACCCTGAGGGGAGGGTCTCATCCAGACCAGGGGAAGAAGGGGAGAGATGCCTGGGAAAGAAGGGATTCAAAGGTTGTGGGGGAAATGAGAGCAATGGAAGGAGCATAAGGGTAGGGGGTGAAAATGGGAGGAAGTCCAGACAGTGTCTTGGGGGAAGGGCACCAAGGGCAAAGGGAAGAGCTGGTAGACCTGGAGTCAGAATATCTGGGGTCAGGCTCAACTCATGCCACTTACTATAAGCTAACCTCAGGAAAGTCATGTCACCTCTCAAGCCTCAGTTTCCTCATCTCTAAAATGAGGGGGTTGTACTAAAATGGCCCTCAAGGTCCCTTCCACCTAAACTGAATATCCTATGATCTTAAATCCTTTCTTCTCTCAGTTTCCCCATCTGTAAAATGGAGGGAGGGATTGGGTTGGGAAAGGGTTGGACTAGATGATTTTAAAGTTTCTCACCCTTCCCCAAACCCAGGGTCCTTCAAATTTAGAATGTAAATTTAGGGAATTCAAAACCAATCAGTTGTGGTTAGTTCTTCTGGTAATAAAATGAAAAGGATGAAGATGTTACAACAGATATAGCACTATCCAGATAGCTCAACAATTTGCAATGTGTTTCAAATTTTGAAATATCAACCTAAAAAGGCTTCCTTGTCAGGAAGAAACTTCAGTTCTAGTCATGAACAAAATAAAAATCCTTAAAAATGAATGTGGGATTGGTATAGTGAAGCAGGTCTCAAAGTGGTCCAAGGACCCCTGGGAGTCTGAAGACTGTCTCAGGAGGTCCACACGGTCAAAATATTTTCCTAGTAATATTAAGATGCTATTTGCCTATGAAAATGCTCCTCCCTTTTCCAACTACACATCTGTAAGAGGACTGATATTTATCATACACTTCAACCATAACAACATATTGCAATAGATTGAATGAAGGTATAATAAGAGATTCCAGCTGTCTTCTACTAATTCAGACATTTAAAGAGATTTGCAAAAAATATGTAAAACAATGCCATTCATCACACTAAATTCTGTTTGGTAATTTTATTATTTTTGTTTTAGTATTTTTCATTAAAATATGTTATTTATGTTAACATGTAATTGGTTTATTATTGTTAGTTTAAATGAATTAATATTTTAAGATGTCATTAGTTCTAACTGATAATATGGTAGATATCAATGGCCATAAACAAAAGCTCCTTGGGTCCTCAATACTTTTTAAGAGTATAAAGGGTCCTGAGATCACAAATTACATAACTGCAGATGTGGTGGAAAGAACGATGGACTTGGGGCAGGGAGAACTCATTTCAAATTCCTGTTCTGAGAGTCGTTAAAATCACTTCTCAGAGGGGCAGCTAGGTGGAGCAGCGGATAGAGCACCAGCCCTGGATTCAGGAGGACCTGAGTTCAAATCCAGCCTCAGACACATAACAGTTACTAGCTGTGTGACTCTGGGCAAGTCACTTAACCCCATTGCCTAGCCAAAAAAAAAAAAATCACTTCGCAGAGTCTCAGTTTCCCCATCTATAGAATTGTGATAACAACACTCCCGCTATAACCTGTAGCACAGGGGCATAAAGAAAAGTGCTTTATCAACCTGAAAGCATTGCAGACAAGTGAAAAGGCAACAGCCACATAGAGCAGGACAAGCTTTGGATTGGGAGACAAAGGATCTGAATTCACATTCCCACATTCTCTGCAACTTACTAGCTCTATGACTTTGAGCTGGAGAAGAACATCTGGTGTCCAAGAGGCTCTGCCAGGCTAGGGGACCCTGACAAACCCTGTAATTTCTCAGCTCCCTGGCAAACTCTCTGAGCTGGCTTGGGTGACGAGAAAGGTGCACTAAAACTTCCAACAAGGAAATCATAATCATAAGCACTTTGGGTAAATTACCTAATTTCTCTGGGATTTTCTGAGAGTTTCCTTAACCACAAATTAAGAGGTTGGAAGAAGTCATCCCTAAAGTCTCGCTCAACTCTAAATATGTGTGGCATATACCTAGCAAAGACCTGTTATATTTATGAAACACTGAATTAAAGCATTTTTTAAATAAAAATATGTTTCTTAAAAATTGATGGGATATTTTATTCTCAAGATTAAAGACTTGTACAGTAATTTATTTTCTGACATCAATCCCATGTGTAAACATTTTAATAACCTGAAAGCACATTTAGTTAACTTAATTTACAAAAACATTTTCACTCTAAATCAATTTATGGATTTCAAATATCTCTAGCTGAACTCAACATGCAGGATTCTTTCTTCAAATAGAAAAGGAGAGAAAATGGTTGAAGTTTTAAATTTACCATATTTTCAGGCAGCTAGGTGGTACAGTGGAGAGAGGACTGGCCTTGAAGTCAGGAGGACCTGAGTTTCAAATCTGACCTCAGACACTTACTAGGTGTGTGACCTTGGGCAAATCACTTAACCCCAATTGCCTCTCCTTCAAAAACAATTACCATATTATCCCTTTAAGCTCCTAGCTCAGATTCTATATGACTGCTTCTAAATTTAAAACTCTCCGAATTTATAGGAGAATTAGTTTAAGTATCAGGATCTAGCCCGTTGCAGCTTTTCTTTTAAGACTTAACATTTTGCCATGGACAGATATAAAAGGATACCCTTCTGAGTCATCCTAGATTTAGGATTCTCACTTTTGAACATTAGTTTCTTCCTGCTGCTACCAAAATTCCTAGCGCTACCAAAAGCCTCACCCACTGGCTGTTGCTACTATCTGCAACCGGCCTTAAATCCAGGGCACATTTTCCTTATTACATGGGAAAGTAGTAAGTGTTAAATGAGATCAATGACATCAAAATCAGTATTTTCTTTCTAATATAATTAGAAAGAAAAACAAAGTAATACTGGAAATAGGAGAGGTGTGTAAAGAAAGCATTCTGCATCAAGGACAAATACTAGTAGATTTGCCTACAAAAGCACATCTACAGCTTACATCTTGAAAACGTGAAGAGTACTAGTTACATACTTGGTATTTCCTAGTTTGAGAACTTTTTTTCACTTAAATATCCTAAGGACTAGCACTATTCTCAATATCAATTTAATTTGAAAGAAAATTACTGATATCCCATGCATATAGCAGTTTTTCAAAATCATAGTTTTCAGTAACAAAAATTTAATAAACTGCACTGATTAATTTATGCTGCACATAATACACCCACTGTATATCTAATAATATACACATATTGTTAAATATTAAGCTTCTTACCTCATCATTAATGACTTCAGACTGTTCTTCCTCCTCTTCTTCAAAATCCAAATCATTTTGCTTAAGATATGTGTGTAAGGGTCCATACAGTTTCTTCTTAAAAGCTAAGAAATCCATCATATTCCCTTGAAGATGTTGTAAGAAAAATAATTCAATCAAATACTCCTTAAAGTTTTCTTTCAGAGCCTCCATTTCTCTGTAATGATGATCCAGGCACTGCTTTCTCATTTGGGCTGTTTCTTGAGACGCTGGTGGAATTTCCTCCAATTTTTTAGGTACTTTTTTCACTCCTATACTTCCTGCAGGAGTGAGAGGAAGGCTGGAAAGACCCTGTGGCACAGCTGCTCTAGAAGGGCTGGTGGGTCCAGGGGGTGGTGAAGTCATCCCAAAGGCTGAAGAGCCTCCAACTCCAGATATCAAGACACCCGAAGGCCTCTCAAACCCCACGGGTCTATTCAACTGCTGTCCTTGAAGCACCTGCTGCTGTTGAATCAGTTGTCCTTGAATAATACTACTGATTTGGGGTGGCAAGCTGGTCGTTGCAATGTGACTGGGGCTAGTCAAAGGCTGCATACTGGCACCACTAGCTACCGGGCTCTGCGGTCCAAGATGATGAATGGTGCCGCCTGTCTGGGCATGGGGCTGTGAAAGTCTGCGTTCTCGAACGGTAATAGGGGCCCCCGCATGCTGGAGTTGAACCTGTCCTCCCTGAGCAATCTGGGCAATGCCTGAGCCCTCCTGATACACAAAGTGTCCACCATTCGAAGGGCTCAAACTGATCTGTCTCACAAGGACACTGGCATCCACAAAGCCTCCAGTGGGGCTGGAGCTGCAGATACCCAGTCCCGGGCCAGGAGTGCCAGCCCGCACACTCTGTAAGGCCTGCACTGGCCCAGGGGTGGGCTGGGTTGGGCTTTGAGACTGGACTTGTTGGGGCAACGGGGAGGTAACTTGTATGTAGGATGGGGAGCCATGCTCAAACCTCCTTTGCTGAGAATTAAACTGAAAACCTGGGGAGGTTGGGTTGGGGATTGGCAAAGGGGTCAGGGTGATCTGCTGGTTTCCTCCAACTACTGGTCCAACATTCTGCAGTGTAATGTTTACATTCTGACCAGCTACTGGACTTCTATTCATAAGCTGCTGTATTTGGTAACTGGGCGACTGTGGTGCAGATGGGCTTGCTGAAGGAGCAAACGGAGCTGCAGGGGACTGGGGTAGATTTGAATGGGACTGCTGGTCTTCCCCCTCACTGCCTGTGAAGGACCTCGACCTCTGGAGCTGGACATTCTGAGGACCGCCGCCATGGTGCATTATCACCTCTTCTTTAAAATAAATTCTAAACAAATCCACAGAAAAATAAAATTCAGCAAAAGAAAATATGGCTTCTAACCAGCTGTATCAGAAATCTTGGAGAACTTCAAAAGTTTACCTTGTGATTCAAAATACAGAAGAAACAGATTTATTTCCCTGATTTTATACCAAACAAACAAACCTCAATGGTAAACAACACTTGACACTAAAGCCACCTTAAGCAAACTTTTATGCACAGCTATGTCTCATTTCAGATGTCAAATGCTCAACAGCAGAAGTGCAGTGAAGCTTTCTGACATCCTATTTATGACTGCCAACTGACTGCTTTAGTCCTTTCCAGTTGCCTAGTGGGTTTTAGTTCTGTTTTGCTTAGGAGGAGATGGTGCTGAGTTTTCACTGAGATAAGGAACTCTCCTTAGAGAAAACTCTCTCCATTGATCATGCATCTGTAACTTACAACCAAGTTCCAACTAAATCCCACCTTCTACAAGAAGTCTTTCCCAACCATTTCAGTACCCTCTCTCCCTCTCTTCAATATTTCCTGTTTCTGTGGTCTACAGCCTGTCTATACGTATACATATACATATACATATATATATATACACACACATATTTGCCTGCTGTCTCCCTCATTAGAATGCGAGCTCCTTGAGGGCAGACACTGTCTTCTGCCTCTTTTTGTAGCCCCAGTGCTTAGCACAGTGCTTGACACACAGCCGGCACTTAATAAATGCTTGTTAACTAATGCCTGGATCAAAGAGCTGCGTGGAGAGGTTAAGAGACTGCCAGCCTCTAGACTCTGGCACCAGCCTTGTGTCCATTCCGCCAGGCTGTCTCTCTGTGCTGTTACTGTATTAAGCCTCAAATGGGGATAAATGTGCTCACAGTGTAGTTGGGCTTCACCAGAACTGAAGACTCAAACGCTGCCCTCTGAGAGGCAGCATGGTGTCTTAGGTGCTAGATTTGGCATCAGTGGTCCTGGATCCAAATCCTCACTGTGATCTGCTCACTTGTGGGATCTTCAGAAAGTCCCGTAACTTCTAGGGGATTCCTTATGAATACCCATGACACTTCATTAACTGATTCAGCTCTTTCCTGATGTACCCTCTACTGATTACCTCTCATTTCTGCTCTCTATGTCTTGCATGTACATAATTGCTTTCATGGTGTCACTCCCATTAGACTGTAAGCTCCTTGAAGGCAGGGACTGCCTTTTGATGTTCTTTGTATCCCCAGCATATAGCACAGCGTTTGATACATAGTAGGCACATGATAAATGCTTGTTATCTGAATGACTATCTACTTAAAACTTTGAAAATTTTATAAAACAGATTTACAATGGCCACTATACAAATGAATAGCAATAGACAGACAGACAGACAGACAGACAGATAGATACAGATAGACAGACAGACAGACAGAGTTTGGAGTAGCTGGTGTGAATTAAAGCAGCTCTCAATGCAACACATTCTAACGCCAACTGGTCTACTCAGCCTGCAGTACTTGGCTACTCCCAAGCCTAAGGGGTTGGCAGGCAAAGGAAACTAAATTCACCTCGCTGAATTCTACCATAATTTGGAGCTAACTTCTAGAGGACAGGAGACCACCAAAAATATGGTTCATAATTCACCTTATTTTTCTTTCAGAATATGTGATAAATTAGGGTGAAATGTTTTCAAGTTATAACAACTTTCAAAATATACCTTTCCATATCAAGCAAAGTACATCAGATAAAGTAACACATTCATTTGCAAGCGGTTTTGGCACAATTTTTTTCAGCTGATGATATATATAGCACTCTAATTACTTATATGAGAGTAAGAACATCATAAAATTTAAATATGAAAGCCAAAGTTTGAGATTATACTTATTATGAACTTATTATGAAGGCAGATGATGAGTATTCTTATCCTGTCAGATATATTGAAATGCTATTGTGCTTATCAGATTGCGTTATAAATATAACCTTAAAACAGTATTACCTGATATTCAGCCCTGTGTTTTGCTTCCCTCCTTCTTCCAATACCTTGAAAAGAAAAGTGAAAATATTTCAAATTCAAATTTTAGCAATCAATTAAGCAATCAACAAGCATATATTAAATAGCCAGGGATACAAAGATAAAGGAGGGAAGACAGAAGAGTGGTACAGGAAGGGATGGAAGGGAAGGAGGAAGGAGGGAGGTGAGAGATGAAAAGAGCAAGGGAGAAGGGAGGGAGAGAAAGAAGGGGAAAGAAAGGAGGGGAAGGTAGGGAGGAGGAAAGGAGGGAAAAAAGAGAAGAAGGGGGAGGGAGGAAGGGAGAGAAGGGAATGCAGGAAGGGAGGAAAGGGAAAGGAGGGAGGAGAAACAGAGAGAGACAGAGAGCAAGAAGAGAGGGAAAGGGAGAGAGAGAGGGAAGGAGGGGAAGGGGAAAGGAGAGAGAAAAGAGAAAAGGGAGGATTGAGAGGTAGAGAGAGGGAAAGAGAAAGGAATAGAGAGAAGAGGCAGGGTCAAGATGGTAGAAGGAGAGGCAGCATTTTTGCCTTAGTTCCTCCACGACCTCCTCCACAATGACCTAGAAAGCACACCAAACTGAATTCTGATTGGGAAAGCCAAGAAAAAGTCACAGGGAGTCATTTTTCCAACTCAGAGTAGTTTAGGAAGATAGACTGAGAGATCTGCAGACACTGGGGTGGGGGCTGGCCAGGAGCACGGCACAACACAGCCATGATGCGGCAGCAGGAAACCAGCACAGGGCCATGGCAGTAGCAACATCAGCAAGGAGCAGCTCCGGAACCCAGAGGCAGCAAGGGCATGAATACCAGGGATGAAAGAGATCCCAGGAGACCCCTGTACTAGACTCCTGGAGCAGGAACAGGTGCCACTAGATGGCTCTGTTACCCATTATCCAGTGCTGGGTTATAGCTTCAGGAGTTGAGAGGTCACCAGGAATTAGCGCCCTAGTTCTGAGCCCAAGAACAGAACAGGGCCTCGGTTCTAAGCCTTTAGTCTGCACACACGCCTGCAATGGAATAAAACAGAGCAGGAGGCCAAAACCAATCAGTTTCCCCAAAAGAGGGAACCAGCAGTTCAGTGACTCTGAATACGAAGAACTTTCCAGCTAACAACGAATGAGTCCAGCAACAGTCTATGGAAACTCAACTACACGCAAGCCAACAGACCCAAACCTGGGTCAGAAATCTGCAGAGCTCAGAATAGGAAGGCAGTGAACAGACCCCCTCCTCAGATCACATCACTTTGGAAGCACCGAAAACTTAACAGACCCCAATCTGAATTGTGAAAATAGCAGAAGGACATAAAAGACAGATGTTCAGGACAGAAACATCCCCCATTTCTCACCCCCACCACCAGAAGTGAGTAGAGCTCAAAGTCACAAAGTAGACTGGGAAAATGGGCAAAAAAAAAGAAAAAACCCTGACCACAGAAAGCAACTGCAGTGACAGGGAAGCTCAAGACACAAACACGGAAGAACACAATGACTTGGAAACACCTAAAAGCAAAGCCTCAAAGAAAAATGCACATGAAATGCAAGCCCAACAAGAATTCCTGGAAGAGTTAAAGAAAGATTTTTAAAAAGAGAAAAAAAAATAATGAAATGAGTGGTAGAGGATAAATTGGGAAAAGAAATGAGAGCAATGTAAGAAAATTATGAAAAGAAAATTAACAGCTTGATAAAAGAGGCACAAAAAAAATACTAATAAAAAAATAACTCCTTAAAAATCAGAATTAACCAAATGGAAAAGAGGCATAAAAAATGTTAATGAAAATCACTCCTTAAAAACTAGAACTGGCCAAATGGAAGCTAATGACTACAAGAGACATCAAGAAACAATCAAACAGACTCAAAAGATTAAAAAAGTAGAAGAAAATGTGAAATGTCTCACAGGAAAAACAACTGACCAGGAAAATAAGGAGGGATGACTTAAGAATCACTGGACTAAGGGGCAGCTAGGTGGCACAGACAGGATAGAGGACTAGCCCTGGAGTCAGTAGGACATGAGTTCAAAGTCAGCCTTAGACACTTATTAGCTCTGTGACCCTGGGCAAGTCACTTAACCCCGACTGCCTTAAAAAAAAAAAATTTAAAAAGAATCATTGGACTACCTGAGAGCTATGAACAAGAAAAGAGCCATTATAAATGAAAACTATGCAGATATTTTAGAATCAGAGAGCAAGGAAGAAACTGAAATAATCTACTGGTCACCTCCTGAAAGTAAGCCCAAATGAAAACTCCTAGGACCATATGAGCCAAAATCCAGAACGTTCACATCAAGGAGAAAGTACTTCAAGTATCAGGAAAAAAAAATAATTCAAATATCATGGAGTCGTAGTCAGGAATGTAGGACACAGAATATGATATTATGGATGGCAAAGGAGCTAGGATCACAGCCAAGAATAACCTACCTAGCAAACTTAGTATAATCCTATGGGTGGGGAAGGGGGAATTGGATATTTAAAGAAACAGAAGACTTTCAAGGATTCCTAGCTGAACAGCAAATTTTAAATTCAAACACAAGACTCAAGAGAAGTGCAAAAAATGAAACCTGAATAAGAAGTCATAAGGACTAAACAAGATTAAACTGTTTACATTCCAATATGGGAAGAACTTTATTATCACTAGAGCTATGAGAGAGTCTATTTAGACAGAAGGTGCAGGTGTGGTTCTATTATGTTGGGATGATCCCAAAAGAAGAATGGATGGGTGAGGAATGGATGTACCGGGAGAGAGGGGAACAGAAAGGAAGAATAGAGAGAATTATTTCACATAAATGTGATATGCAGGGAAGAATGTATGCAATGGAGGAGAGAATGGGGGATGTTGGGGAGCAAGCAATACTTGAACCTTACTCTCCTCTGAACTAGCTCAAAGAAGGAAAACTAAACATATACATACAAATGGGTTTACAGAAAAGCAAACCTATTTCTTAGCTGTGCATGGCACCTTTACAAAAACTAACCATGTATTTGGGGATTAAAAACCTCAGAAACAAATGAAGAAAAGCAGAAATATTAAATGTCCCTTTTTTTTATCATAACAATAAAAACTGCATTCAGTAAAGGGTCTTTGACGCAGAGATTAAAAATTGAAAACTAAATAACAATCTTAAAGATTGAGTGGGTCAAAGAATAAATCATTGAAACAATCAGTAATTTGTTATTAAAGATAATATTAATGAGACAACAAACTAAAATTTGTGGGATGAAGCCAAAGTAGTACTTTGGGGAAAATGTATATATCTAAATGCTAAAATCAATAAAACAGAGAAAGAGATCAACAAATTACGTATGTAACTAAAGAACTAGAAAAAGAACAAATTAAAAATCCCCAATTAAACCCCAAAATAGAAATAGAGAGGATCACAGGAGAGATTAATAAAATTTTATAATTAAGAAAATTAAACATTGAACTAATAAATAAAACTAGGAGCTACTTTTTAAAAAAACAATAAAGTAAATAAATCGTTGGCTATTTTGTTTTTAGAAAAGAAAAAAGAGGGGCAGCTAGGTGGCACAGCGGATAGAGCACTGGCCCTGGATTCAGGAGGGCCTGAGTTCAAATCCGCCCTCAGACACATAACACTTACTAGCTGTGTGACCCTGGGCAAGTCACTTAACTCCAACCACCTAACCCAAAAAAAAAAAATCGTTCCTTAGAAAAGAAAAAAGAAAACCAAATTACCAATATCAAAAATGAAAAGGGTTGTGGGGCAGCTACGCGGTGCAGTGGATAGATCACTGACCCTGGATTCAGGAGGACCTGAGTTCAACTTCAGCCTCAGACACATAACATTTACTAGCTGTGTGACCCTGGGCAAGTCACTTAACCCCACTGGCTAGCTAAAAAAAAAATTAAAAGGATGAATTCACAACCAATGAAGATGAAATAAAAGCAATTATTCAGAACCATTCTGCCCAAGTAGATACCAATAAAACTGATCACCTAAATAAAATGGATGAATATTTACAAAAATATAAATTTAACAGATTAAAAGAATACACAATAGAATACTTAAATTACCCTATCTTAGAAAAAGAAATTTAACAAACCATAAATGAGCTCCTTAAGGGGAAAAAAAAAAACAGGACCAGATGGATTTACATGTGAATTCTATCAAATATTTAAAGAACAATTAATTCTAATACTACATAAACTGTTTGAAAAAATAGGTAAAGAAGGAATTCCTCCCAAATTCCTTCTATGATACAAATATGTTCCTGGCATCCAAACCAGGGAACATCAAAACAAAGAAGAAAAACACACAGACCGATTTCCCTGGTGTATGTTGATGCGAAAAATTTTAAATGAAATATGAGCACGGACCTTACAGCAATGTATCACTGAGACCACGCACTGTGACCAGGCTGGATTTATACCAGGAATGCAGAGCCGTTTCAAGAGTAGGAAAACTATAAGTATAACTGGCCATATCAATAACAAGAACTACCAAAAAAATCACATGATTATTTCAATGAATGCAGAAAAGCTTTTCAACAAAATACAACCTCCATTCCTATTTAAAAACAAAACAACACTAGAAGACGCAGGAATAACTGGAGCTTTCCTTAAAATGATAAGTAACATCTATTGAAAACCAAAAGCAAACATTGTCTGTAATGGGGATAAGCTAGAAGTCTTTCTCCTAAGATTGGGGTGAAGTAAGGATGTGTATTACCACCATCACTATTCAATACTGTATTTAAAATGCTAGCTACAGCAATAAGACAAGCAAAGAAATTGAAGGAATAAGCATAGGCAAAGAAGAAACAAAATTACCACTTTTTGAAAATGAGAGAGCTAACTAAAAAAAAATGAAACTAACAACTTCAGCAAAGTTGCAGGACATAAAATAAACCTACATAAATCATCAGCATTTCTGTGTGCTTCCTATAAAATCCAACAAAAAAGAGATAGAAAAAGAAATTCAATTTAATGCAACTACAGATAACATAAAATTTTGGCAGTCTATCTGCCAAGACACACAGGAACTACATGAACACAATTACAAAACACTTCATACAAAGCAAG